ATTGTTTTCTGTATGTAAAACTATAGCTAATCTTTAAAATATGTATTTTTTGTTAATATTTTTGGGTGTCTGAAACAGATTAATTGTATTTACATTAATTCTTTTGGGAAATATTACTTCAGTTTTCATATGTTTCGGATTTAGAATGGCCTTCTGGAATGGATTAAGTACGAAAACTGGAGTTCCACTGTACTTAGCAAACAAGACAGATGCGAGAGGTGAAGATGTTCTGCCATGCCAATATTACAAGTCTGGGATAAAGCTGATACCATAAATCTGTGCTTTGCATTCATTCTTAACAGATTTGTGCTTTGATCTTGTCAGGTTTTAGACAAACTTGTTTAATAAGCCATCCCATACTTCTTGTATCATATTTATATATACATATAAATTGATATGATATGTCTATCCAAGCCATACTCATCATGGAAGCTCTAGAAATGGCTGGCAGTTCATTGTAAGCATTTTATTCAACAGGACTCCAATTGTAACCCCTTCTCCTGCATACATAACTAAAGTGAAAAAGAGAAACTTACAATTTTTTTTTTTTTTTGGGGGGGGGGGGGGGCCCACCCTGCTTTGGTGGGATGCGGCCGGTTTGTTGAAAGACGACGACGATTCCAATTGTACCAAAATGTGTTTTGCAGCTTTTACACTAAGTTTAACAAAGAATACATGTTATGTAGTACCATAATTTTAAATAAGTTACTGTGGATTAATTCACACCAAAAAACTCAGTGAGCCAAAAATAACTTTGCTTCCAATAAGAAACAACCTTTAAATAAATGTGAGTCAAGAAACTACTTTCCTGACTTTTAAGCACCAAAGAAACAATAATTCCTTATTTTTAATACTGGGCATCATACACATCCATGCCATTTCTCAATGTACCTTGTATCAGAACACTTTATTAATTCCAGTAAGGCCCTTTTTCTACAAAAAATAAGCTAAATAACTGCATTAGCTTATTATCACACCCAATTCTACACCTATATTATCTGACCAATCTAACTGCTCTCTGGCCCACTTGTACACATCAGTTAATCACAACAGTTCCTAGCACTAGTAGTGGGCATTTCTTGAAATGAGGACTTCATATAATGGAATTTCATCCATCAGGTGAATGAATTCAAACTGATCCACAGTACCAGTATTCCTCAAGGCATACTGGTATTGATACTACTCTTCTCCTACCTTGATGCTGGAGAGGGGCTATCATCCAAGAAATACATCTATCCTCCCTTCTGTTAGATCGAACCCGACTGCCTCCCAATACCCAAGGAGATGTATGACTCGCAAGTTTACCACTCCTCCATGAATATAATTATAATACAATATCCCAATCAAGGGGAAGCCTTGATGCTGAAGGGCTCATTGCAAACAACTGGACCTACCCTTTCCTCCTCAGACTAAACCTCATTGCCTTCAAGTCCCTAAGCACTGTATGACCCTTACTGGTATAACACTCGTCCACTAATGTAATAATACCATACAGTACAAATAATCACGTAAATACGTTCTGGGTTACAACATAATTTACCATATTGTTGCCATGTCATTAAAGTTTAAAAACTGACCACAAGTACATTTACACATCACATTTAAATTTATATAAGCTTATCAAGGGTAATTCTACAAAGGGCACATGACTAGTATTGTGCTTCTTTCAAATTTATTCATTAACTGACTTCTTTAAGGAACAAGGTAAGTGTATACCATTTCATAATTTTCCTTTTACAAAGGACCACTATCTGTATAAATTTAATAAAGAGGAAGCAAATATCTAACATACAAATCTAAAAGTTTACTAAACATTACTTCTGATATGTAAATACATGCTCAGTAATTACTATAACATATTTATACCATGAACAAGGAGACAATATAAACAAAAGGAGTGAAAATATAAAACAAATTACTAAAACCTAATTAGACTTCCCCACCAAGGTCTGAAGAATCTGTACCCAACTACTGTTACTGCAAATAATATAAATTAGATTGCTGTGTACTACAAGGTACTGACACCAATGCAAAATTAACCATGCATATACAATACTCTAAAATAATGTACTAAAAAATTTGAATATTATTTCTTTACAGCTATACTAAACACTAAGGATAATTTATCAAAGATAAGTACATTTCTTGCCCCAGCTTTATTGCTTTCAAATAGTGGGCTCTAAAAAATCAGTGGCTAAGTGGAACTATTATACATTTTAAAATACTTGTAATTATGCAAACTCCAAAATAAATTTCTCTACCTAAACAAATTAAAAACTTAGATTAGCTAACCAAATGTAAAAACTCATTATACCATATTAGTATAATAAAATTATGTAAAGAAAAATATAACCTTCAAGGAAAAATAAACTATGTAAATTAGTGTCTACATGGTCTGGAAACCAAAGAGCATCCTGCAAGCACAGAACAATTTAAGAAAGATTACCACACGAGTACAAGACAATCAGGCAAGTGGGAGGAAATTTAAAGTTAAAATATTTGTTGCAGAAATTTCAATGGGGAATGAAAATGTTTGCGAGTCTTATTCATGTGTACAATAATATGCAAAAAGCAAAACTTACTTCTCCTTCCTTTTCTCTTTCAAGGTTTAATACTAACTCTCTTTGTAAGCAATTGCAGACAGCATTATATTTTTAAGAACAAATAAAAGCTGCTGAATCTTTGTTGCATTTGTCCAATTACATATACAATTTCATTGTTTTTTCTGCAATGTCTCGCTATCAGTGGTCATTTCGGAATGTCCAGAACGTATATTGCTACTTAAAGAAAAGCAGCTAAGATCAAATGTATTCTCCTCTTGCCTTCTAGCAACCAATAAGGACCATCCCATCTTTCATACAGTAACTGGTCCATAATCATGGAAAGGTCTGTTTACAGGCAATCTTACCCTTTCTTAAAAGAAATAACAAACAAGATCATTCTATATCAAACAATAACATTCTGGTCTCGGTAAGTACAACAAGCAGACTTTAGGAGCACACACAAGTGAGGTATATCCACACATGTTTATGCCCATAAATTTACTAGGCATAAGTCTGTCATCATACAAAAACAACGAATGTCAATTTACACTTACGACTACAATAAATTAGTAACTTTTCAACTCCTCACATACAATGATTAGTTTCTCATATTTTGCAATGGGAATATCCCACAAGTTGACTTTAATCACTTTCTGAAACTACGATGACATAATGAGAATTTTAAAAATAGGGTTTAGCTATTAGTCTGAAGTGACCCATCTCCTACTTGAAGAATTGGGATATTCTTATTAAATGTACCAAATCAATGTTTTATTTGGCCATAATACAGAACCATATATGGTTAAATCCACGAGCCTCTTCCCTGAGAACATAATCAATACGTGAGAGCTTTTCCCCATTGTCTGTGATAACCCAAATTAGGATGATACACAGATCTCTCCTCTTCTTCCCTTTGCCTAAACACTTATGGAAGCTGGATAGTTTTTACACTTGGAATCATCGATCTTTGGCTGCCAGTTTGTCAATCAGCTCCTGAAGTGGTGCAAGTTCTTTCCGCTCTATCAACTGGAATTCCTGAAAATATAATTCATAATTATTTTTATGTCAAGATAGAAATATTCTAGCTAGCATTTTGGTTTTAACTTCTAGTTAAAGTGATTAAAATAGTAATCACCTTTATTCTGGAAAAAAATTAATAGGCAGTAGCTGTACAAGATTTTAAGGGAAGAAACCCACTTTAAAAATGTGATAAAAAAATATGTAAAAAATTTGAGAAATAGAGTAAATTCTTAATTCAATGGACTAACAGGGAAGAGGTAAGTGGCCTGCAATGGCAGCTGTGGTGGATAGACATGAGAATGTTTTGTTCTTATAGTAAAATTCTATAACCAATGGATTTTGACTTTTTTTTTTTTTCAAAATCAATCAACCCAGCAAATTTTTCCCATATTTTCCAAGTGGAGGGGAGGAGGGGTAGGGGTCATCCTAGGAAAGGATGGAGGGAGGGGGTAAAAGAGGTTTTGTGTGTAAGGGCCCTGGACATGCAGCACATGCGAGTGTTAGATAGGAGACAAATGGTCTTCGGGACCTGATGAGATCTTGAAGTGTGAGCAGAGTAATATTTTGTGAAGGGATTTAGGGAAACCGGTTAGCTGGACTCGAGTCCTGGAGGTGGGAAGTACAATGCCTGTACTTTAAAGGAGGGGTTTGGGATATTGGCTGTTGGGAGTGACATCTTAACTGTCATATCTGGATGCCTCTGCAAAGACAGTGATACTGTGTGAATGATGGTGAAAGTGTTCAATGATGGTGAGCGAGTGTTTCTTTTTTGGGTCACCCTCCCTCGGTGGGAGACAGCCGATGCGTAAAAAAAAAAAAAAAAACCCAAGTCTGTCACATTGAGGATGGAATAAAAATAGGATGACTTGGAGGCTGTAAAATCTGTGGTGGAGGGAAGGTGGGGTAGAGGTTGGTATAGGAAAGACTGGAGGGAGAGTGTAAATGTTTCGTGTGTATGTATATCCTCCTTTTATGTATATATCCTCTTTTCTCTGAAACTGGTTACATTCACTATAAATTCTTATTACTGTATAACCAAAATTTTCCGGTAATCATTTCCAAAATTTTTAGGAAAATTGGTTCAAATTCTATAACCAATGCAGTAGCTGCAGGCAGAGATGGGTGGTTGGGCAGGGTCACTGAGAAGTCTGTTTTGGTCGCCATGCAAAATATTCACCGAAACTGGTGGGGTGTGTATAATAGGAGGCAGGGTTTAACTTACCTTATTCTGCTTTGAACTGCCTTCAAGATCTGTGACTTAACTGGTGACAAGTGATCATGACTTAAGATTACTGCAATCTCTTAAAGTTTGCTTTTAATAATGCTAATAATGACATTACCTAAGAAACAAAAAGTAGTGGATAATTGCCAGAGAGAGTACATTATTGTCATACTTCAATCTTGGTTGTGAATCAAATGTTTTCTCAATCCATATTTAAAATAATTTATGATACATAACTATTTTAATTTCACCTGGACAAAAAATATGAAGTGTTTGAAAGAGGTGTTAAGATGGGCTTCTTCACCCAACTGTACTACTTCAGAGAAGTGCTGATGATAAATGTGTGCATACACTCGGAAGAGGCGCTTCAGTATTGTCTTAGCATTACTCTGGAAGTTCCTTGGAAAAGGTACACCTGTTGAAAAAAGTGAATTAAAATACATACAATTATACAAAAATCATTTAAAAGAGAATTAACTTTTAATGTAAATTCATAAATAAATTAATGTAGGAAAAGAGAATTTACAGTTAAACCCTGGTACTGTATTCTACTTTTATGAGAAAAGGTTTCTTCTCGCAGAAGAGTTACTCATGGAAGTTTCACTTTCCCTCAATGCCCAAGATGGCCAGCTTCCTAAGATAAAACTGTTGAAACACACCAGAACACACATTTTCATAGAATACATTCCAATTTATGAATGTTATTATGCATGTGTATTTTGCCTATTTTCAAGTAAAATATATAGCACAGAAATGTATTGTACACAGGTCATTTCTCACCAATGCAAGGGGCAGGGTGACCCAAAGAAAAAAAAAAAATTCCAGTCCTTTTAGTAGCTATCCCTTTTTCCTAGCATTTTAGCCACTGTTGCAGCCCCCTACCAAACTAGTGGTTAAATGGTTAACCTGCCGGCTGGCAGTACCACTGGGTACGTCATCAAACCCAATGTGGGGACTGCTGAGCCGGCCTTAGGGCAGTAAGTACCTGAACACCTCACGGTACACATCTACTGGCCTTAGAGCAGTAGTTACCAGAACACCTAATGGTATACATCTACTGGCCTTAGCAGCATTAAGTACCTGAACACCTCACGGTACACATCTACTGGCTTTAGAAGCAGTAGGTACCTGAACACCTCACGGTACACATCTACTGGCTTTAGAAGCAGTAGGTACCTGAACACCTCACGGTACACATCTACTGGCTTTAGAAGCAGTAAGTACCTGAACACCTCACGGTACGCATCGAAGCAGTAGTTACCAGAACACCTAATGGTACATATCTACTGGCAGTAGAGAGTATTTTACGGGCTTCTACTGATTTTAGAAGAGCCGCTCACCGCAGCTCACTGAGTCTGATGGCCTCAGTTACTTGACGGCCGCACTCAGTGAGCTTGCAGCATGGTGTTCTGCTAGTAATTCATTGGACCACCTTGCGGTGTGTCAATTGGTCTTGAAGGCGGTAGATAGTACTCACCAGACCATCTTACGGTGTACTTCTACCGGCCTTAGAGAGTATTTACAGGACTACCAGTGATGTCTGCGAACTCACCGCCTATGCTGGTCAACTGTGGGCTGGAGTCATCTGATTCTGTTTTAGTGGGACATTACATGAAGAAAAGGTTGGAGTGTTACACTGAACTGAGCTAGGACCATAGTGTGACACTTAGGGAAGTATGATGGAGTGAAATATTGAGATATGCTACAGGACCGTAGTGGAACACTGAGAAGAAAAGGGTGTCGTGTGACACTGAAGATGGCCTGGTTGTAGTGTACATTGAATAGTATCATGTGACTGGCCTCTCGAAAGACGCTATGTTGATAGTGAGTGTGTCGCAGAGATAAGGGTGTCAAGTGTGACACAGTCGTGAAAGGGTGTGGATGACGCAAAGGGTGTCGTGTGACACGGAGAGCTGGAGGGTCTGGTGACACAGAGAAAAGGGTGTCAAGGGACACAGTTGTGAAGGAGCGTCATCACACGGCGAAAAGGGTGTCGAGTGACGCGGTGGAGAAGGAGCGTCACAACTCGAATAAGTGTCATGTGGGACACAGAGCATCATTATAAGTGTCGTGTGAGACACGGAGTTGATCATAATTTATTATTATACAAATGTTATTTATAATTTATTATTTTAGCATAGTCAGACTTGAGTCCTGGAAATGGGAAGTACAATGCCTGCACTTTAAAGGAGGGGTTTGGGATATTGGCAGTTTGGAGGGATATGTTGTGTATCTTTATATGTGTATGCTTCTAGACTGTTGTATTCTGAGCACCTCTGCAAAAACAGTGATAATGTGCAAGTGTGGTGAAAGTGTTGAATGATGATGAAAGTATTTTCTTTTTGGGGATTTTCTTTCTTTTTTGGGTCACCCTGCCTCGGTGGGAGACGGCCGACTTGTTGGAGAGAAAAAAAAAAAAAAAAAAAAAAAAAAAGATATATATATATTATTATTTCAAGATGCTAATAATTTATTATTGTAACCTGTATATATATTTTAAATACCTCTAGACCAAAGATTGTTTTCATATTATATTAAAGATTCACGTGTGGTGTGAATATAATGCAGAGAATTCGTAGTTTGGAAGTTAGGAGGAGGTGCGGGATTTCCAAAACTGTTGTCCAGAGGGCTGAGGAAGGGTTGTTGAGGTGGTTCGGACATGTAGAGAGAATGGAGCGAAACAGAATAACTTCAAGAGTGTATCAGTCTGTAGTGGAAGGAAGGCGGGGTAGGGGTCGGCCTAGGAAAGGTTGGAGAGAGGGGTAAAGGAGGTTTTGTGTGCGAGGGGCTTGGACTTCCAGCAGGCATGCGTGAGCGCGTTTGATAGGAGTGAATGGAGACAAATGGTTTTTAATACTTGACGTGCTGTTGGAGTGTGAGCAAAGTAACATTTATGAAGGGGTTCAGGGAAACCGGCAGGCTGGACTTGAGTCCTGGAGATGGGAAGTACAGTGCCTGCACTCTGAAGGAGGGGTGTAAATGTTACAGTTTAAAAACTGTAGTGTAAAGCACCCTTCTGGCAAGACAGTGATGGAGTGAATGATGGTGAAAGTTTTTCTTTTTCGGGCCACCCTGCCTTGGTGGGAATCGGCCAGTGTGATAATAAAAAAAAATAATAAAATTAAAGATTCATTTATTTTAACGTGTATTTATATATCCCGAACTCTTTATTACAAAATGAGTAAAACTACCATCTTAAAAAAATCATTTTTTTTGTAATAGCCACCATTCATGACATGTATGTTTATGGAGAAAAGAAACATTATGTGAGTAAGAACTACTGTACTATATTGTATGTATGTGCTGTATAAAGTTGCATGAAATAAAGGTACGATAGCCAATACCTAATTTTAAATAGAATTTTATTATTACATTCATGCAAAGGGAGTGCTAAACCTGAAGAGGTCATACAGAACTTGGGAGACTAGGAGGCAATAAGGTTCCATTCAAGGAAGGGGAATTCAGATTCAATTCCTTGAAACAAAAGCCCTTCACAAGCATCAAGGAACTAGCCTTGAGGGGAGCTTAAGAAGCTATAAGATTTACTTGCCATTCTTACATGTTTACACATGTACATACACTAAATGATAAAGAAATGTAGTAGTAAAATAATCTAATAAATTCATTTTAAGCCAAAAAATAGTTTTCTTCATATTTCAGTGTTGTTTGCAACATTTTCTTACATATTTGAAATATGAACTATAATGGAAACATGTCAGCAAAACAAGAAACTACATTTCATTTGATCCACTTCCTATTTTATATAACTAAATCTTTTTCTTACACTCGAATTTAAAGATTAACAGCTATTCTTATGACTAATTTTCAAGCCTAGTCCTATTTAAGGTATACTACCACCTGCCACCATCCCCTAGAATGCAACTCACAAAAATCAAATAACATCTGGGTACCTATTTACTCGTAGGTGAATAGAGACAACAGTTGTAAGTAAACATGCCTAATGACCCCATTCAACCTAACATCAAACCCAAGTCCTTAGACTGAGTTGAAAGCCCTACTACTGAGCCACCTGTGTTTCCATTAAATAAAAAATTGAAGAACATTCTATTCAATTTTTAAGAACCTTACCAATCTTGGAAGGAAAGAGTGCCTCATCATCCAGTTGATCCTGTACCCAAGTCATCAGATAGTCAATATATTTGGGAGCAGAACACTTAATAGGCTTCTTCACAGTTTGCCCATCAGCCCAATGGTATTCATATTTAGGACCTGCAGACATCACAGGGCATGACTCCTCTGTGCACATTTCTGTTATTGTTCCATAAAGCATGTTGATCTGATTGAAGAAATCTACTGCTGAAATAATAAGAGCTTTTATGTAAAAACATGAGCACTAAATAGTAATTTTCTATATCTACAATGAAATGACATTATGAGAAAAGGTGATAATAATAATAACATAATAAATACTAAAATACAGAGGTCCCTTGAGTTACATTAGTCTCGAGTTATGATAATTTTGAGCTATGATTTACCCTCAAAGAAATTTAGTTTTGAGTTGCGATGAAAAATTTGAGATATAACATGTGTAACCAAGACCACCCCTCTGATTCAGCCTATGGACCAACAAGTGATTACAAATTTTGAAAAGATTTACAAAAAGATGATGTTTGCCAAGTGCTTTGAAGAGGTTTCAGGAGACAAAGCCATCAGCCTCAAGAAATTCTGGGTTCTTTCAGTTGTAATTTGAATATACTTTACCACTAAGCTAAGAGCTACAATCAGAGTAGTCAGGGCTAGCTTGAGGTTATGAAAGGACTAAGACAATAGAAGGAAAAGGCCTAATATATTATATAAACCTCATTAAGCATTTTTCATGCATTTATGGGTATTTACGTTTATACGTAAAATTTATAACTCTAGTCACTGTGTAGACCATGCACGATAATTCTCCACTCACTGATGTAGCTCACAATTACTTCTCCAAACTTACTGTTGACTGCCACCCACTCGTTGAGGTCCTCTCCCTCCGGCAGCATCACTGCCGAGCGAAGATTCCCAGAGCCAAGCGTTGCAGCTGCATGTTTCATCAAGTCATACTGGTGTGTGCCTTCAGGGATGTGTTTCTTAGGCTTGAATGTTTTGCTAGCTCGGCTTCCGCTGAGAAGCACAGATACCCACACATTAATTAATACAGTAATTAATAATTAGAAAACACAAATTTTAAATAAAATATACAATATGTATATAGTTATAATTAAAATAGCCAGAAAGTTTAAAAATCCATTGTGGCTAGCCACTTTTTTATAAACATCATATGCTGCAGAAAATTTTGAATCTCCAATAAATACTTATCCTTGATAAATGTGCTGATGTTATATATAGCAATTTTGGGCACTGAACACTAGAATGAAAGGATATCTGTGCGATGGAGATTAAAGTGAAGATATTTTTGTGGGATTGTCAGACAACCAAGTGGTTCACAAACTATTTCCTGACCCTGGAATGAGTTTGTCACTAATATTTGCATTAATGGACTCCCTGAAATGCCTTGCATTATAGGGGGCATTCCATAAAGTAGTTTATACAGTATATGTCAATTACCCTAATTGAATAATACAGTGGAACCTCAGTTTTCGTCATTAATTCGTTCCAGAAAGTCTGACGAAAACCGAATTCGACAAAAACTGAAGTAATATTTCCCATAAGAAATAATGTAAAAACCAATTAATCTGTTCCAGACACCCAAAAGTATTAACAAAAAATGCATTTTATAGAGAATAACTATAGTTTTACATACAGAAAACAATGAGAAATAAATATATAAAGGACTAATGAAATAGATAAATGAACATTTAATATTACTTTTGCCTTTATAGAAGACTCTTGTTGGCACATGGAAGACGTGAGGAGGGAAGAGGGAGGAGGATTATTATTATTAAAATCAAAAAGAAGCGCTAAGCCACAAGGGCTATACAACGCTGCAGGGCAGGAAGGAAGCGAGGGCATCAGGTGGCAAAAGGGAGATGGATGAGTAATAGGTTACGGATAACAGCGGGGCAGTGGATGGTGAAAGGGTAAAGGGCAGCAAGAGACTGAACTAGAAAGGGCCGAGGGGAGTGCGAAAGGTATCATCATCAGAGTTTGTGGAGTAAATCAGTCGTTGTCAAGAAGTCAATGAGAGAGTCAGGATTAAAGGAGGGTCCATCAGCAAGAAGGGAAGGTAAAAGAGTAGTAGAACGAAGACGACGTTGGAGGTAAATTCTGCGTGCTCATTGATAGAGGGGGCAGTCTAACAGAATGTGGCTAATCGATACTGGAACTTGACACTGCTCACAGAGAGGAACAGGGTGCCTCTCCATGAGATACCCATGAATAAGACGAGTGTGGCCAATGCGAAGGCGGGAGAGTGTGGTCTCCCAACCTCGGCACTGATGACAAGAAGACGGCCAGTAACCTATGCTCGGTTTAATAGAATGAAGTTTGTTACCGAGCAGAGTTGACCAATGTTGTTGCCAACGGGTGTGAAGGTGGGTAGCTATTGCAGCAAAATAGTCCAGAAATGGAACACCTCTATAGGAAATTGGTAGGTCATGTACTGCTGACCACGCAGCAGTGTCTGCCTGTTCATTGCCCTGTACATCGACATGACCAGAGACCCAACAAAAAACAATATCTTTATGCTTTGTAGAGATACGGCGTAGCCAAAGTTGGATATGGAGAACTAGGGAGTGAGATGTATCAAATTTTGGTACAGCCTGTAGAGCACTAAGGGAGTGAGAGACTACCACAAATGATGACACAGGCATAGATGCAATACGAATAAGTGCTGCAAGAATGGCATACAATTCAGCAGTAAAAATGCTAGCCGAAGATAGCAAATGCCCTCGCACGACGCTGTCCAGAAACACTGCTGCGAATCCAACACCGTCTGAAGACTTAGAGCCATCTGTGTACACAGCGATGGCATGAGAATGAGAGTGGAAGTGATCAAGAAAAAGAGCGGGAAGCCACCGTAGGCAGTTGGGCTTTTGAGCAAGGGAGTGAGAAAGAACAGACCCGAACAGCTGGAACTTCCCAGGGGGGTAGGGAAAAGTGAGATGCTACATGAACATATAAAGGTGGTAACTGAAGGGAAGACAAGAGCGAATGTAGACGAAGAGAAAAGGGACGGAGCAAACAGGGGCGGCGAACAAATAAAGAATGTCTACTAATACCGGTGACCATTCTATAAATGGATGGATTGTGGAGATCGTGAAAGCGTACATAGTAGCGAAGGCAATGGGCATCAAGGCGATCAGACAAGGATGCAACATTCGCTTCTGCATAGAGGCTCTCAACAGGGAAAGAGCGAAAAGCACCAAGGCATAAACGTAATCCTTGGTGATGGATGGGGTTAAGGCTAGAGAGAGTGGCAGGAGAGGCCGCTGAATAAATCTGGTCACCATAATCGAGTTTCGATAAAACGAGGGCTGAATGTAGGCAAAGCAGAGTTCGACGATCAGCTCCCCAGGAAAGATGAGCAAGGGTTTTAAGAAGGTTTAGCCGGCTGTGACAAGTTGCCTTCAGAGAGGTAATTTGAGGTTTCCAGGATAACCTACGGTCAAAGAGAAGGCCTAGAAACCTGACTGTATCACGTTCGGGGATACGAGAGCCATAGAGATACAAAGGATGATCGGAGATGACAGAGCGTCTAGTGAAAGTAATTTGGCGAGTTTTAGTATTGGAAAATTTAAACCCATGCGTGGTGGCCCAAGTGGAAACACGGTCGACCGCATGCTGGAGAGAAACTGCAATGAGATGACAGTCAGCGCCTGCACAAGCAATAGCTAAGTCATCAACATAGAGTGATGACCAAATATTGGGTGGAAGAACAGAGGCCAAATCATTTATAGCAAGGAGAAAAAGTGTTGTGCTCAGAACACATCTCTGAGGGACACCTTCAGCTTGGACAAAGTCCGGGGAAAGCACATTATTGACTCGAACACGGAAATGCCTGTCAGTTAAAAAGTTCTTAAGGAAGGATGGTAGATTGTCTCAGAGGCCTAAGGAGTGGGCTTGGGCCAAAATATTATACCTCCAAGTTGTGTCATATGCCTTCTCAAGGTCAAAAAATATGGCAATAACCGAGTGATTATTTGCAAAGGCATTACGAACATACGTATCCAAGCGTAGTAAGGGGTCTATGGTAGAACGGCCCTTACGAAAGGCATATTGACTAGCGGAGAGACTGTTGTGTGTCTCTAAATACCACATTAACCCTTTCAGGGTCCGTCCCGTAGATCTATGGCTTTACGTTCAGGGTCCAAACCGTAGATCTACGCCATGAGCTCAGCTCACTCTGATAAACTGTGAGTGGTACATTTGGGCCTAGATATGAGAGAATACATCTATGTGGTATGTGTGCACCACATAAAACAGATCCTGCAGCACACTGTGTATAATGAGAGAAAAAAAATGAAATCATGATTTTTCGATTAAAACAGCAACTTTGCAGTGTTTTTTCGTATGTTTTTATAGTTGTATTTGCGATTTCTTGGTCTCATTTGATAGAATGGAAGACATATTACAGAAATAGAGATGATTTTGATTGGTTTTAGCACTGGAAATGGCTTGAAACTGAGCTCAAAGTAGCAGAAATGTTAAATTTTTGCCGATATTCAAGAGTAAACAAACGACCTCACACGTCTAATACACGTCAGCTGGTGGGTCTAATATACATTCACAAATATGGTGATGATATTTATACAATTATTACAGTATTGCATAACAGTAAATCTTCTATTTTTTGGTGTGAATAAAAATTCATTATGTGAATAAAAAATCAAAATGGAATTTATTTGTAAAGCCTCAAAACATAACTAATGAACAGAGGAAATGTTAGTTTAGTGCCGGGAATGCCTACATTGTTCATTCTGGACCCTATTTTGAAATTGGAATATTTTGAACTTTGTGTTAAACGGCGATTTACCAGACGTGCCATCACTTTGCAAACTGCACCAGTAAGAGTGATGGGACGATAGTGGGAGGCATCATGTCCTGTAGTACCCGGCTTGTGGAAAGGGAGAACAATGGCAGATTTCCACAGCTGGGGAAGAGCTCCTTGTGCCCAAATAAGATTGAAGAGGAGTAAGAGGACTACAAGGGCTGACTGATGTAAATGTTGTAACATACGAATATGAATGTCGTTAGGTCCAGCTGCCGATGACCGGCAAGCTGAGAGTGTTGCCTCCAGTTCCTGAAGTGTAAAAGGCACATTATACTGTTCTTCTCTGAGAGAAGAAAAGTCCAAGGGTACTAACTCTCTGGCAGACTTTGAGGAAAGAAACGAGGGGCATAGATGGAGCCCCCGGGAAATACGGACCAGATGAGTGCCAATTTCAATGGCAACGTCAAGAGGGTTTGCTACATCAATACCAGCGACCCGTAGAACAGGAGCCGGGTCAGGAGAGTATTTACCACTCAATTTCCTCACTTTTTTCCAGACTGCACTCATAGAGGAAGCAGAGGTGATGGTGGAAACATAGTCTCGCCAGCAAGTGCGTTTAGCATCAGGGATGACACGGCGAGCAATCGCACGCTTCTGCTTAAAATCAAGAAGTCTCTCATTGGTTCTATTGTATCGGTACCTGCCCATGCAGTGCATTTCAAACGTACTGCACGAGCAAAAGCAGGAGACCACCAAGGCACGCACTTCTGAGAATGCTTGCCTGAGGTTTGGGGTATAGAATGAGAAGCTGCGGTATAAACTGACGTCGAGAAGAGGTGTAGGAGCTCATCAATGGAGGATGAAGAAGGAACCTCACTAAAAGAAGTGAGCTGCGAGTAAAGGTCCCAATTTGCCCTATCAAATTGCCAGTGAGGGCTACGGAAAGGTGGTGAATATGAAGGAGAAGTAAGAATGATTGGAAAATGATCGCTGTCATGTAAGTCCGGTAGAAAAGACCAGGTGAAGTCTAGTGCAGTGGAGGAAGAGCAGACTGATAGATCGATGCAAGAGAGAGTATGAGTGCGAGGATCAAAATGGGTGGGAGTACCCGTATTTAAAACATGGAGGGGGTGAGAGGCGAGAAAAGCCTCCAACTGGATGCCATGCGAGTCACAATGAGACCCCCCCCAGAGGAAATGGTAGGCGTTAAAATCACCAAGTAACAGAAGTG